GGGACACAGACGCACTAATTTTCCGTGTTGCACGAAAGCCAGCGTGATAACGAATTTATCTTCAAGCAAACTTGACGCACAGTAAAGATGGAACACGCACGCTGTACACAAACTTTTCAGCGATTATCCTATTGCACGTGCGTGTTGTACGGAATGGCGCTCGCATCTTAGAAAAGCGCGATACGCGGAGTGAGGTATGGACCGAGGCCGTGCTACATGGTTACATGTAGCACGGCTTGTTGCCATGGATCGACCAATCAGGATCGAGGATTCAAGTTTACTTGAAGATAAATGTACATATATGTATTGTAAATGCTTGACTAGATCTTATATTGTAGATAAAGCTTTTGTGTTCCTATTTTTGTCAAACCTGTAGCTTTAAACAATGGAATGACATCCTGGAAAAAACAAGCGGTGTACATGTACATGTATGTGCAGTTTATCAAGGTTGTGTTGAGGTAAATCTGTTACTGTTAGGCCTATCCTGTGGACATTACTAGATTAGGAAAATGTGATGCATTTGTGTACCGTATGCAACTTGTAAATTACATGTACATGTACATTGTAAGTATGTATGTACTTTTGTGGAATAGTACCACAAGTAGTTTTTTTAGTACAAAAACATGCACAATCTGGATATGTACCCGGTGTGTACATGTATGTATCTCTGCATTCTCCATAGTCGCCCATAGTGAGTTAATTCGCTTCATTGCATTTACCTAGATGATGCAATGTCAATGAATTATTCACTCAGAAAAATCTTTTCAGCAGACTCGTGCAATGGTTTGTACGTGTACAATATCTGGATTATGTCTGCTAGAAAAACTCAGCAGGCTCAAGTGTTCAGGCCACACGTGTGTTTTGTTTTATTCCATTGAAATTGAAATCATTCCACCTCCGTGGAATTTTTGCTATCATCCTCGAAGCCTCCAAGATTCACGGCTCTGTACATACCATCGGTACATGTACGGTACATGTACCGGTAGGTGCGCATTCTTTTCATCTGAACTTTCACACTGCACCATCAAGTCCCATGTACATGTACATTGTAAAACGTAAAGTGCTATGGCTATGTAACTTTGCAGAGTCTTCCAAAAACTGCCGGATTTTGAAGGATGGGAGGGTTGGGTGAGCAAATGTTCAGTTGTGAAATACACATGAACACATTAATATGTAACAATTAACAAATAAAACATGGTTTGAGAGTTGATAGGCGATATTAGCTCCCCAAAGCATTGGGAGTTGACGGACTAGTTCCCGAGGTGAAGCTAATATCGACTATCCATCTGAACTAAACCATGTTGTATTTGTTTTACTATACCCCATACATATTCACAAAAATATCATGAAGTTGCGCATAAGTTTTCTCGGCAGAATGTTGTTGTGCATGTGCCCCCATCTCTTCATGTAGCTGCTGCATGCTGCTAGGGCGATGTTCGCCCGTGCACATTACCCCCGTGTGCTAGTTCCACGATTGCTTCGTAAAGCGCATGCGTAGTAGGCTAGCGCACTGGTAACTAGTGCAAAGTCTTCTACGCATGTGTATTTTAATCTGTGCGTGAAACTTTGCATGCTCACTTGGTAAACTGCAAAACTAGCGGCTGACACGTGATGGTGAATGGACCAATGAGAACTGGGCTCTTGATCATGAATATGTATGAGGTACAGGTATAGTAATTATGCTTGTAGGCCATTACTTGTATGTATGTATGTATACATACGTACGGTACCGGTACATGTGCATGCTAGAGGTACATTTACATACATGTACATTGTAGACTACAGTTTTGCATATCGTATACACACGTTGCTTTAGAAAGCATTGTTGTTGCTTGGCACAGCATATTATGTACGGTACATGGTACATTTATGTGTCAAACGTAATGATGAAGTCAGTGTGCATCTTTCAGAAGGCCTTACGTTTCATCCTGGTAATGTTTTTGAGGCTCAAGCACTGCCCTCAATGCTGCCATAGGCTTACTGAACAATTGGTCAAACAGGATCTTTAAAATTGACCAGAAATTTGTTTTCATTCAACACCTACGTACATGTACATACATTTACATTTGTACCGCGACATAAATCACTCACTGCATTCCCTGCAAGCAGTTGATTAGAGATGAAAAGTGGCACCATGCACATTGACAAAGATCACTAAACACTGACGAGTTGGCACATTGTGCCCAGTACAGCGCATATTCTTTCGCAGCCGCGGCAGTCCTAATGTGTCCGTGCACATGTGTTGGAATTAGTGCCTATCTATATTAATGCAACCTAATTTGTCGGTGTGGACAGTCTTTGTCAGCACCTCCCAATTCTTACGTGCTGCGGCTGAATAATAAATACATGTGGGCCATGGGCTGGGAGGTGTTTGACGTAGGAAGAAGTGCTGTGGGAACCATACACATGTTCTAAATTATCAAAATTGCGCCTAAGCTGTGTGAGTGTGTGTGTGTCGCCACTTATTATTAAATTTATATTTTCCTTTGACCGAAAATTCCTGCCAGAGTTGAGTGTACATTAGGCCTGATACAGTGAATGTATTGTGTCAAACTGTTTTGTTATCTTGGCCCTTCCGGCTCAGTGTCAAATGAAGTTTAGTTCATACATTTACCGGTATTTCAAAGTTGTGAAGTTTTCTTTCCCACGGTATAATGAGCCGGAAGTCGGTTGCCAGTTCATGATCATCATGAATCACATGGGAAATGCAAAAATTGCATTGACTTGTAGTGTTTTTAGCTGCAGGTATCAGCTCTGCAAGTACCGTGCAATGAGTCTCTCGGTTGGTTGGTTGGTTGGTTAATAACAAACTTCAGCACATGCTTTTTTTGGCAATCAATCACCTTGTCCCTTAGGCCCTCACAACAACATGTGCTTCAGGTCTCCACTGACCAACTACATGTACCAATTTATTGCAGTCGTGGAAAATTGGGTCACAAGGTCACTCATTTCGCATTTGGGCTAGCACTAGTTGTTTGACATGCTATAAAACGCTCCATGCACCAACTGACGTTCAACAAAATAATGAGAATCCTTTTCAGTTGACAGTCACGACCACGTGAGTAGTTGTGCAATATAAGAACAGACTTGGTTTTACATCATGTACGTGACTATTAAAGTTATAGGCTACAGCAGGTCTACAGTTGGGCCGCAGCTTCCAAGATCATTTCAAGCTTGTTTTACTAGACGCCTATTTTTTCCCTCTTATTCCTCACTTCACTGATGCATCTAGTGATATACTCAGTGCAATGGTCCTAAGGTACTTAAAAGATCATCGACCTGTTCCTGGCATCCCTAATGTACCCCAAGCCTTCCGACATGCTTCCGTCATGGCGCGTTAAGAAACATCCTAGCGCCCGGGCCCGCCTCATGTCAACAGGCACAGGAAGAAAAACAATGTTGATTTTTCCTCTGGTGTCCCTTAGTCATGCGGTCCCGTACTGCTGTCTGCTGCGGTGTCAAAAGTTCACAATAGAAGCTGTGGTTAAATCTGCAATGGCATGCTATGCACTGTGCATTGATAAACATATGAACACTGTACATGTACAGAGCTCAGCACAATACCGGTCTGTAAACAAATACATGTACATGTAGCTAGCACAGTGCTCATTCGAATTGGGAGAAACCAACACAATATTTATGTACATGTACGGTGTGTTAAATAAAGGTTTCAGTCCTGTCTCCATGTACAGTACATGTACATGTACGTTATAATCATGTAAGCACACACAATGTAAATAGGGGGTCATTATGTTATTCACATCAAAGTTTGTTGACCTTACAACTGTCCAAAAAGTTGGCTAATCACCAACATTTTAATATAAAAATGAAAGCGAATGCCGTTACAAGGAATGGCTATCAATCAGCTTTCATTTCAGGTGCATTGTCACATTTTCAGTGCAGGTTTCCCAAGAGCCATAACACAGATTACTGATCTAGGGAATTGTATTGTTGTGTGAATTCCTATTAGTGTAACAGTACCCTAAGGAGACATTTTTCATCATTAGTTATACCTTAAAAAGACACCGGACATTAGGGAGTCATTTGAGTGTCTCCCTAATGTCACAACTCCTATTTAGAGGCAAAATGTTGCTGTCGCAAATAGGCTAGATCGATTGGTCATGGTCCAAAACATAAATAGACCAAAATGTGTGGGGGTACGATAAGGGGAAATTGGGGTTAGGGGTCATTAAAGTTGGAACCAGTTTGTGCACAATCCTATGGAAATGTCTCCCTAATGTTACATATCTCGTAATAATAATGTTAACAGAACTTAATAAATTTTGGTTAATTGTCAGTTGTCTGTCTGCCACTGGACTTGGATTACATTCAAACCAGTGTGCATGACTTGCACCTACTAATTTAATCCATGTGTAGCCCTAATCTACTTAATCCGTGAGTTGCCTAATCACTTAATCCAAGGGATTAACAGTTGGCGATTTGATCAAAACCTCATTGTCCATATTGTACACTGGACATTGGTGTTTTACATGTTTGTGCCGTGCTTTTATTTATTACTGCACATTGAAGTTGGTTGCTTCACGCTTCATGTACATATACCGGTATGTGTACTTACCATCCAAGATTAGGCAGTACTTTCGGGAGTGCATGTACTTTAGTGTAACTTTCTATTTCCAAACTGTACAGGTGTGAACTACATTTAGTTCATGATCTATTTCATGGAGTATCCATGCATAACAAAATAGACACAACATTACATTAACTGTGGGCTGTCTCTTGTGTGTTTCAAGGGAAGCATTAAGCTTGTTTACGTGTATACTGAGTGCTGTGGTGCATGCTAAAGGCAAACATCCTCTGTACTGTGTGTGTATTTGACTCGTCTGAAGATGAACATTTTCCAATGTGTTCTCACAAAATATACCTGTACATGTCATGCACACTTGTAGTGCACCTTATTAACCTCTCTGATTGGTAAAACACATTCATTGTACTTTTAAACTATTTCTGAATTCAATTTTTTATTTCCTTTTTTTTTGCAGAAATAAAGAGTGACAATTTCATGTACTGATTGAATGAAGAGAACGGTCAATACAAGCAATGCGGATACATGTAGTAGACGTGTGATCATTGGGAACTAGGAACATATAGTGACAGAAGGTTCATCAAGTGTATCATAGCGAGCATGGAGAACAACAGATCTGCATCTAAAATGGCGGGCTGCATCCAACGCCTTGCTCAGACTGTTGCCAGGTGCCTATTGCTGTGGCAACTGGCTCTAACAGTCGTAACATTGGCCGACAGGTACCCCGTCTTTGAGGAAGTGTACCAGCCAGAGAACAATCTCATCAAGTTGAAGAACATGCTTCTGGATCAGAACACCAGCGCGTTGTACGTCGGCTCTGTCAATCACCTTTACAAACTGTCACCAGATCTGGGCATACAGGCGACCATTGAAACCGGGCCTCGGCAGGACAATCCGGGCTGTATTGCCCCTCCGGTTGACTGCGATTATGAGAGGACCACGACAGACAACATCAACAAGCTCCTCGTTATTGACCAGGATCGCTTGTTTGTCTGCGGGAGTATATACCAGGGAAGTTGCGTCATTCGGAGGCTCTCGGACCTGGGGCTTCTGGGTAATGACAGCTATCAAGAAATCGCCGCAAACACTCCGGATGGAACGTCGGTTGCCTTTGTAGCCCCCGGACCACTAGGTACAGATGTGCTCTATGTTGGAACATCCTACGGGCAATGGATTGACAAAGCCGTGCCAACAGTATCCAGTCGAGTTTTGCCAGTGGAGAACACCGGCAGCGATCTCTTTGAAATATTGGAAGACGCCAACAATTTTTTAGAAGCAGAAATACAGATTCCTTCAGATTTTATCACAAACAATGGGTTCAACATTGACTACCTGTATGGCTTCTCAAATACCAAATTTAGTTACTTTGTGGCCGTACAGCCAAAGGACCCAGAACATATTCAACCCACCTTCTATACCAAAATCGCCAGAATATGTCAACAAGATATAGCGTATTACTCCTACATAGAGTTGCCATTATCCTGTAAGCAAGGCGACACAGATTACAATGTCGCACAGTCGGCGTATGTGGCTACCATAGGATCAGCCCTGGCCTCAGGTAGTGGTTTTGAGGTTGGCGAGAAGGTTTTGTTTGTGACATTCTCTGAATCAAGAGTCGATGAGATTGCACCCACTGAGTCCTCTGCCATCTGTATGTATTCCATCAAGAGGATTAACGAACAGTTCAACGATCGAAGGAAGGAGTGTGCTTCTGGAGTGGGTACGACGGACATCCCATGGCTTCGCAGCACACAGTGTCCCGTCTCTCAAAATCTGGTAAGATTCTTCATACCCCAACGAGGCTATCGCCTCGCCTTGTTCGCTTGGTGGTTGAACAAAGCAGCGATGCCTCTTTAATAACCCAATTACACATTATGCATTTATTTATTAAATAACCCTTGCCCTTTGTCATAGTTGAGTGCACGTATAAATTAGCTTAGCAGTATTTTATGCTACCGGTAAGCAGCTCTGCGAAATAGGGCTGAGGTGTGACTGAGCTACTGTAGTCACCTGACCAGAAGTCATGGTCTAATTTGCCAATGCACTGTTACTGTAATTTCAGGTGGATAGAATTAACGCAGAAGGAACAGAATACTGCCACGATCAGGACTTCATTCGTCCCCTTGGTGGAAACACTCCCATTGCAGCCCAGGCAATCTACACCGATAACTCCATCCTGTCGGCCATTGCTGTCACTGCGCATCTTGACAAGACTGTCATCTTCCTTGGAGATCAACTTGGTCACCTAAAGAAAGTAAGAAGGCCTGTTTGTTGTTATCTTGCATCCTAAAAAATATGGCGTTACGGAAGCAATTAAGGATGTATACGCATAACTTGCAATATATCTTCATCTGAAATTTGGCATTAAAAAGGTACAACTGGGTTTTGCCTGTTATTGGCATAATGTTATTACACTGTAAGCTCAGTGCTTTTTAAAAGAGTTATGAAAAAACATGCTACAATGGTACTCAAACTCAAATTTGTTGCTTACTATGAGCCACTCCACCACGAAGCTTGCCAGTGCTGGCTGGCTGATGTAATCTTATGTGAAACGTGCTTTAACCCATCTAGTGGGAAGTCAATATTCAGAGTAATATGTAAAACCCTTTAAAATCCTGCAGGTCAGTTTCAGGTAAAGGGATATGAGGTGTTAAAGTAACTGTGTCAACTACAGAGTCACTGCACCAAAAACTACACTGTGGAGAGGAGTCTAGCGTGCCCGAATCTGCCTGCTTGCCCTGAGCTTAACCACACCAAAGAATTGTGCAGGGATTTTGAAGTGTTATTCATATTCCACAGAAGATTACCTCAAAGGAATTTGGAGTGTGGGTGCCAACTCTATGGGCAAAAGTGGTGGTTTAGCAAAACTTGAAGGGAGCAGAAGACTACCAGGGTTGATGCAAAAAAAAGAAGAGCTTGTGAAATGGGGAAATCATTATTATCTTGCCTTCAATGTTGTGATTCGCAAAGAGCTTTTTTTTCTGGAAGTGTGGTTTTTTAAGGATCTGGAAGGTAAAAATGCAGGTTTACTCAAGGAACACAAACATTTCAGATAACACTTGCAGATATCCCACTACGTTTTGCAGTCATTCATTCCACTAGGAAATCCCAAAACCAGCATTTTCCTAACTGACTCTTGACTAACCCCTCTATGTTCCTCCTACAGTTGTGGGTGCTGTCACACTCGGAGGCCGTTCTGTATGAAGAAGAGGCCATTCTTAGCGGCGACCAACGACCCGTGGTCAGGAACGGAATCATTTTCAGCCCGGATAAGAACTTCTTTTACTTCATGACAGAGAGAAAGGTAAGCAAAATTCTTAGCGCATTTTTATTAGCAGAATTATCAGCCATAGTATTAGCTCCGCGCACAAGTGCACCCTCAGCGGTAAGAAAGGCAGCGTTGGGGGAGACCACTGGGAGAGACATTTGAAAACGACGCCTGACGCACACGCGAAGATGCTGTGGCTTTGTGCACATATTCAGAATATAATTAGTATTGCGTACTTTGTGCCATATGTGCGTGAACAAAGTGGGGTGCTGTGGTCCAATGGTTACGGTGTTCGACTCGTGTGCCGTGGTGCATGGGTCCGAATCCTGACCGTGGGAACATGGCGCTTGTGCTCTTGAGCAAGGCACTTAACCATTATTGCTTCGTCCTTCGGATGGGATGTAAAGCCGTAGGTCCCGTGTGTTGTGTAATGCACGTTAAAGAACCAAGGGGTTTGCCTCGGTGTTTCTGGCAGTGGCTGCAATATGCGCCGCAGCATATTGTAAACCATTCAATATAAGGTGCTACATAATGGGTCTTATATTTCCCATAAACTTTATTTACCTTTCTTTAATAATAGACATATCTCCAGCGCCTTGAGTACCTAATAGTTGGTAGATACGTGCGCTTTATAAGACTCCGATATTATTTATTATAACAAGTAGGCCATTGAAAGTGGTCTAATTTGGCCACTCGGGTTCGCGCAAGGAGCCCATTGAGTCAATCCTTGGTCTAGTCCAATTTACATTCAAAGTAACATTATTCTATAAAGAAAAAATGCGAGTGCACAATAAGCTCTGGCAGTGTTGCAAGAAGTCTTGCATGAAAGTCTTACATCAAAACGATCAAAAGGATTCCTGCCAGAGCTTAACAATGCGACGCCGAAAAATGCTACTCCGATGGCACAAATGGAAACCATACTTGTGGTCATTTTTTGGTCAATTTTCGGGACGGACAAACAGACAGACTGACCGACCGATCTGACCGACCACCAAGTGACATGTAGAAGCTCCGGCCAGAGCTTCAAGTAAGTAATTTAGAATAGGGGCCGTGTAACATTTCATGTAAATGTGTGTACATGTGTAAAAAAATAGTGCACTCCTGGTGTACATGTATACTTTCATTTATTTAAATCATTCATAGACTCATTTAAGCCTACTTTAAGGGGGTCAATAGAATGTACTGTTAGGTACTCATGCTTGTACTTTAGGCAAAGCAGTTGTACATTTGCAGGTTTCTTAAATTTATTTGTGTCACGTAGACGTACAAATAATAACAGAAATTCTGAAAGACATACAACCTTTTTGTTTTTACAATAGAATATGTTTGTTGCATTTGAGATACATTACGTACCTGAATCTTCCATTGAAACTAGTCTGTCACTGTTGGACATTGCCATATTTACTCTTTTCAAATGTTGTTGTTGTAGATGTAGTCCGTGCACCAGTCTCAAGCCCAGCTGATATACAGATATTATTATTACAAATATTTAATATTGCAAATATTTCCTTGTTGAATGTTCACAGACAATTTGATTTAACCTGGTAGATATTCTGCGTAAAATATTTTTAAAGGGACTGCATCCTTCAAATCCAATACCATTTGCAGAAAGGTCGAAGTGAGCAATTTCTTACAGGGCACCTTTAATTTCCAATATCCAGTAGTCGTCAACAGCAGCCAGTGTTTTGATTCATGCACAGAATGAAACACATTATCGTTGACACTGCTGTGTGACACACCCACACGCACTGCACATTATCCTAATGCATAGCGTGAGGTATGTTTACCCATGCACACTGTGCTCCAAGCTTACCGCAGTAGTATAGGCATATGAATTCTTTTAAGCATCCTCAGACATTGCTGTTCATACAGTTAAATGTACAGTCTATCATTTGCAGCTATCGAAACAGTAACTGACCTAATTATAGCTAAAAAGCATACTTGGTTTAAAGATATCTTGTAATGGGACTAAACTCCCTGTGAAATGATTCTTTCTGGCAAGCTGTCATTTTGAAGAAATCAATGAAAAAGGCCATTTCCAACGATGCGTCTTTAGACGCATCGTTGGAAATTTCCATTAGTACTGTAGTTCGTTTTTAATTCGGCGAAGCGCGTGTAAGCGTTGACACGACGCACATGTGCGCGCTGCTATAATTCGTCGGTTCAGTGCGCGACATCGCGTAGCTGCAATCGCCTCAGTGAGAACGTGTGTTGGATGCTGAATCAGGCCCAATTCAAAACATGACTTAACAACTTTTGATTTGAAATCTAGATCCTAAAAATGATGTTTTCTTGGAACATGTACAGCATTCATTGAGCTAAAATTTCATCAGGTTAGTTGTTCAGCACCCTTCTTTAGATTTTGAGTACTTTTGTTGCTTCAAACGAACATAGTGCACAAATTACAAATGATGGACGCTACCTTTAACTGGCAGAGATATTTTATTTTGTCTCTCTGATATCCCCCCTTCCTGGGAATCAACCTGTCATTCAGTGGGTGCTTTTTTTTGGGAATGGATCGTATGCGAAATCCACCAGTTTCTGATACTGACAGATTGGCTTAAGTGACAGTAGAATAAATTCTTGGGTTTATTAGGCGGGGGTATTTGGAGCATTTGACTGTGTATACTGGATCCAGGAATCTGCCATTCGTTTGATTGCCACTTTGCCAGCTATTCAAGGATTTGATGGCTGCATGATGTTTAGGCCTTTGGAAGTCTCTTCTAACCCTAACGTACCCGAACCCATCAAAATCCACACCCCTGTTTTGGAAGATTTCGTTGGATTCAGGATGCCTCCATCTTGTAAAAGTTGGAGGATTTTGATGGAGTTAGGACAGTAAGGCAAGTGGTACTGCAGGATTTTGATGGATTCAGGATACCTCCATAATGAGCAGTTGGGGGACGTTGATGAATTCAGGATCTGAACAGTTTAACTCCTTGGCTGTGTACGAGGTATACATGTATACTGTACTACACTGGTGGATTCTGATGGACTCACTGGTGGATTCTGATGGACTCACTGGTGGATTCTGATGGACTCCGGACAGCAACATTTTTTTGCATGACAAAATTGGTGGATTTTTGCGGATTCAGGATACTTTCTAGTAAAAGTGCTCAAAGGGTTAGGGTTATTACTACCTTGGTATAAATAATCTTAATTTTGCTGAAACCAACAAGATCATCTCGCAAACATTTTCTATTTACACGATGGAATAATTAATACTGCAAAACAATCCAGCGGTCCATAATATTGCTCGCCTCAGGCAAACTTTAACCGGTGTGCTTTGTGTGCAACTTTTGACCTGCACGCCACGCAGATGCGGCTGGTGCGTTGTTTATCACAGAGGTTTGAATATTTGAATATTCGGTCAATCGCAGTCTCAAATAATCGAATACTAAATTATTCGAAGATGGACAGCCCTACAAATATCAAATAAGAATGACTTCATATGATTTTGTGTTAATATTGGTGCAATGTACTCTTGGAGTATGACCGCATGGCGGAGTACATCAGAATTATAAAATCGTACAAGTCAGATGAAACAGGGACAGAAAAAAAGTGGATCATAAATTTATATAATGACCTACATACCGTACAAGTGGTATACAGGAAACATACCCCGGTACTTGAACCATTGGGTTCCTGCACAATGGAGGATTTTGGAGGATACAGGAAGGTTCATAGAACACAATTTCCATCGGAAGCTTTTCCTTTCTGCAAAAATTTTAGCATAGCTGTTCCCCAAGGACATGGCAAGATGGCCGCACGCGACCTGTCACGAATCTTGCCGATTTGGGTCAGTCAGAGACACTCAAGTGATTCCATATGACAACCCAGATTTCTCTCCCGTTTGCACTCCTTGTTGTATTTGACCAGATCGTCATGGGAATATTTCCTAGCCTAGTTTCATTGGAGCGTGCCAAGAAATCTCAGTCCTGGTGGATCTGATAACATTTTTTTTCTTTTTACTGTTGGGAACGGTATGCGAGGAATTGATGGTGTACATTTTTCCAATCAATCAATCTGGGTCTAATGACAGGATTGAACATAAATTGTTCATGCGTGCGCATATGTACGTACAAGTACAATGTAGATGGTAAAATATCTTCAATGGTGTGATAACTTAAATAAATCAGAAACGGAAAGATAAGTGTTGAACAAAATGTCATGTCATGCCTTCTTCAGCATTCCAGTTTTGATTAAACATATTGTACATTTGTGCATGTGTGCACATGAGTGCCTTTACTATGTACAAGTACATGTACATGTATGCACATTGTATATAAAGTTGAGGTTTTCAATTTAGGGATTGAATTTACATGTAACTAATATAATACTTGAAATTGTAAGAAAATAGACAAAAAGGCATAGAACCGGTATGTTTTCTACAATATGTGAGCTTTTTTTCAGAAGTTGACTTTTGTATTTTTTTTTTAGGCAAAACTGTTTGAATAATTCACGATTTTGACATTTTTGCACAAGTGCTCATCGGTTATAAATAAATATGCGAGATAATACTATAATTAGTATCCTGGAAAAACCCTGACAAATAGATGATCTCATCACATTGCACAATAGTTATTTTTTTGACAAAGTTGTCACAAAGCATATTTTCAAGCAGTCCCCTTTGGTTGGCGCGATAGCTGTGTACAAAGTCCAACCACGGTGGAAATTCCCTCGAGACAAAATGCCAAATAGGAAAAATTGACTCCTTTGCATATTTAAGATCCTTCTAGGCTTGTAGGCAATATTTATTCAGCTTTAACTGAACGTTGATGTCTTTTTTATTTTCTTCAGTTTATGACTACATGTAATATATAACAACCATGGAGTCGGGGGGGGGGGGGGGGGGAGGGGGAGATACCATAGGTTTTTTTTTATTATCTTGATGTTGCAACTGTTGTCTTTTTTTAAAATTAAAATGACAATTAAATTATGGTTCCCGTCCCCCCAACCAGTGGGTTGCAGACATTAATTTAAAAAAATGGAACATCTTCATAAAACATTTGTTAAGAGGGGAAAAATTAATTTGT